AAGAGGAGGAATGAGGAGTATGGAGTGATGGAGGAGTTTTCAGAAGGTCACAAGGATATGATGGAGCCACCTAATACCAGGAATACCACCAGAGAGATGTCCCCGTCCCTCTGTTTTCCCGGGATTCCACACAGGAAGGTCACACCCATCCATCCCTCACCATTACAAGGTTGGTGGGATGGAGAATCTAGAACATGGACTTGTAGAGACTATGGGCTCCAATCACAAAGCGGTATCTTCCGTATCCCAGTATGTAGTAAGATGCTGCATTCTGTTTTTTTTAGTAGTGAAGCATGCGGGGAATTTACCACTGGTGTCCATAGCAAAACACTTGTAAATAGCTTGTTGTTAAGGAGAGGGCAGCCGCCAGTGTCCTCAGCAACAGTAAACAAGGAGCGGAAACGGCCACCAAGTTCCCCAGCTGACAGCTTATCTGTGACAGGTCTGGTATGGATGTTGAGGGGAACCCCGATGCCCAAAATAATAAAAATAAAGGCGTGGTTTCCCCTCCAAAATCATAATACCAGACCCCTTAGTGAGTGCCCACCTTCCTCCTGAACCATACCAGGCCACATACCCTCAACATGGGGTGGGGTGCTGTAAGGGCCAGGGGTGCTCTATCCTCCCAAAAGCACCTTGTCCCCATGTCGATGGGGACAAGGGTCTTCCCCACATAACCCTGGGCAGTGGTTGTGGGGGGCTTATTGGAATCTAGAAAGTCACCTTTAACATGGAGGCCCCCAGATCCCGGACCCCCCACAATGTGAATGAGTATAGAGTACATAGCACCCCTATTCATTCACCAAAAAAAAAAGTAGTTTAAGAAAAAACGAAATGTAATTTTTGAAAAAAAACAAAATATAATGAAGGGAAAATATTCCCCCTGATGTTGATCATCGATGATCCAATCACGATACTCGCTGTCATTGCCTTCTTGTGACATCACCAATACATATGCCCCGGTCAATGACATCACAATGCAACATGCACGGTCAGTGATGTCACCAATAAAACATGCCCCGGTCAGTGACGTCACCAATATCTAAACATGCCCCGGTCAGTGACATCACCAATACAACATGCCCCGGTCAGTGACGTCAACAATACTACATGCCCCGGTCAGTGACGTCACCACAGATACAACATGCCCCGGTCAGTGATGTACACCAATACAACATGCCCCAGTCAGTGACATCACCAATACAACATGCCCCGGGTCAATGACATCACCAATGCAAACATGCACCCGGTCAGTGATGTCACCAATACAACATGCCCGGTCAAGTGACGTCACCCAATACAAACATGCCCCCGGTCAGTGACATCAACCAAATACAACATGCCCCGGTCAGTGACGTCACCAAATACACATGCCCCGGTCAAGTGATGTCACCAATACAACATGCCCCAGGGTCAGTGACCTTTCACCAATACAACATGCCCCGGTCAGTGTCGTCACCAATACAACATGCCACCGGTCAGTGACGTCACCAATACAACATGCCCTGGTCAGTGACGTCACCAATACAACATGCCCCGGTCAGTGACATCACCAATACATACATGCCCCGGTCAGTGACCGTCACCAATACAACATGCATGGTCAGTTAAACGTCACCAATACAACATGCCCCCCCTGGTCAGTGACGTCACCAATACAACATGCCCCGGTCAGTGACATCATCACCGAGTTGCACCGCCCGTTAGTATATTTACGTGGCAGGAGGCAGCAGAAGTCTGTCAGACAGAGAGATTGGGGAGTCTTCATTGGGAGCGGAGCTTTTCTTTCCGAGTCAGCTGGTGACAGCGATCATCGTGATTGATGATGGATCTACACCTGGGGGGACATTTTGCTTTAGTTTTGCTTTTTTTAATAAAGGGACTTGTCAAAAACTGCCATGCTTGTATTTAAACAGAATACTTTTTTGGGTCACGTGAATAATTAGGGGTACCATGTACCCCATACTCATTCACATGGGGTGAGGGATCTGAGGGCCCCCCTTGTTACATTTTGTAAGTCCTCTGCCTGCAAACCCCCACAGCCATAGCCTGGGTTGTAGGGAAGAGTCCCTTGTCCCCATTCAACCATGGACAAGGTGCTCTGAGGGAGCAAAGCCCCCCCTGCCCCCCAGAGCATCCACTCCATGTTAAAGGGCACATGGCCTGGTATGTTTAGGGGAGGGGGGTCGCTTGCTCATCCCCCCCTTTCCTGACCTGACAGCAGCATGCTCTAGATTAGGGGTCTGGTATGTGTTTCTTTCATTTAGGCAAAGGGGTCCACCTCAAAATCCTTACCAGACCCAGGGGGGGGCTCTACAACATTTTCTTAATATTTTGTTGCGGTATTTTTTTTTTTTTTTTATTAATTTCTCGGTTGGTTAGGACGCAGCGGCCGCTCGCTCTCCTAACAACCATGTTGTTTACTGGTTGTTAAGGATGCCAGCGGCCAAACGCCCATCTTTTACCCAAGCAGTACACATTTCCTGAATGCCGCATGTCTCACCCACTAATTAATGACCGCATGCTATTTTTTACATTCTTTATTTTCCTTCTGTGAATTGTAACGCGCCTGTTCATGCGGTATTTACTGAGTGTGTTCAGTGTTTGTGGTCAATTAACGCAACACGGGATGAGGAACCATGGACAGTTTCAGAATGGCATGCGGGTATTTAGGGGAAATGTAGCACCACATATCACATGTGATCTGACTTCTGTGAAGGGAGACAATGTGTGGATTTTGTGTGGTGTGTGTTGTCACAATCATAAATCTTACATTTTACAGATGATATTTTCTCTCATTTCCTTGATTTAGAGTGGAGATCAATCGATATAAGAATTTGAGGTGAAAGCAGAAGAAGAAGAGGCGTATGTGAGGGATGATCAGCAGTCTATGGAGGAGGATGGAATAACGGGGACATTTATAGAGCGAGGACACTCCTACAGAGATCAGCACAGGTGGTCGATGAACACTAAATCCATTCCTCCACCCATACTGCTCACTGATTGGTCAGAGTAGGCGAGGGGACTGGGTGATATCAGCCTGTAATCCCCTGGTCACTTTCCTGAGCTGTGTTCCCCGTCCTGTATTCCTGGATTTCTCTCGGATAATCTTCTTCTCTGTGCTGCAGACACAATTTATGTATCTAGACTGGATTTTATGGACGAGGTTCTGGGGTTCAGCTGGCAGCAAAATGTTCATTTTTTCACCATAAGTGTTGCTAGACCTAGGCACTGGGGTGTGTTGTGTATATGGGTTGTCCTTCCTCATGTCTAGATCTATTAAGATCTCTGGACAGATACATTTCTCACAGGGTTCCTTGCTCTTGTTATCTTGCCTAGGCTGTGCGGGATGAGGGATATGTCTGTAGTTGTCTCAGACCCAAGTCACTGAGTGCAGTCTCAGGAGATGGGAGGCCAGCGGTGTGGGATCTCTGCAACTTGTCTACAGTAAACATTTAATATTCCACTGATTACTGAATACCAATATTATGAGTCATCTGACCCTTACACTATGTATAATGTATATTGTAACATTACATTTTACTCCCCTGACCCCTGCACTATATACTCTATGTTGTACATTTACATACTCCTGACCCCTGCACTATACTACTCTATGTTGTACATTACATACTCCTGACCCTCTGCACATATATCTATGTTGTACATTACATACTCCTGACCCCTGCACTATATACTCTATGTTGTACATTCACATACTCCTGACCCCTGCACTATATACTCTTTGTTGTACATTACATACTCCTGACCCTGCACCTACTGTTACTCTATGTTGCATACTATTACTTACTCCTGACCCTTGCAACTATATACTCTGTGTTGTACCATTACATTACTCCTGACCCCTGCCCACTATATAATCTATGTCTGTACTTTTACATAGTCCTGACCCTGCACTACTATATACTCTATGTTGTACATTCCACATACTCCTGACCCCTTCACACTATATACTCTGTGTTGTACATTTCATAAGTCCTGACTTCTGCTCTCCCCCCTCCCCCCACTGCTATATATACACATGAAATATGGATTATCTTTTGTTACACATTTCCTCCCAGCCTGGACATTTTATATCGGACGATGTGATTGGAGCACAGACTTTTACATGGTGATATCTAATGTGATAACTCCCCCCCCTCCTTCAACTTTGGACCCTTAAAACAGAAAGTTGATAATGAGGGAGGAGTCAATTCCCCAATGATGGTGGTCTTCAGGATCAGTCAGTCTTCATCTTGGTTGTCTCCCCCCATCCTCACTCTCTGACCTCTGGTGGGCTCAGCCCCGATGTTCTTCATGACTAAAATCATGGACTAAATAAGGAATAGTGCAGTACTTCATTTGTGTTCAGGGAAGATGGCGAATGTGTGATAGGGGGGTGGGGACCCTCGTCCTATAATCCCCTCATCACGTGTCCCCTATAAAAGACAGTTCTGGATTTTGTTTCCTCACTCTCTGACTAAGGTCCATGAATAAATGAAATGGACCTGGTAGGAGATCAGAGGAGCCATTTTCCTAGTTAACTTTTGAGGGTGGAATTGTAAGCTCCCTCAGAGGACAAGCTGCTGATCGTGGGCGGCAGTCCTGGTTTGGGGGAAAACCAATCAGCTCCTGTCTAGTAATCTCTTTGTCTTTGTATTTTAGTCCCATGGCCGGGAGATGAGGAAAACTCCGAGGATTGTCTCACTTTGTCTCCAGACTGGAAAGTAGAAGATGAGGACATCACACAGTATAGTCCAGGAGAAAGCCCTGGCTCCCTACCAATGTCCATCCGGCACCACCAGTGTAGATGGACCATCGGATTCCTCATATCCTGAGGAACCTCAGACTGTGCGGGACCAGGCCAGCCTTCCAACAGGGAAGAGCTTCTCCCTGTACTGAGTGTGCGGGAAAGGATTCCGTTTATAAATCAAGACTTAATAGGCCATGAAAGATCTCACACAGGTGAGAAGCCATAATTCCTGTGCTGAGTGCGGGAAATGTTTTGTAACAAAATCACATCTTGTCATACATCAAAGGCTGCACACAGGAGAAAAAATATATTCCTGTCAATGAGTGCGGGAAATGTTTTTCACAGAAGTCCCATCTTTACACACATCAGAGATTCACACGGGGGAAAAAGCCATATTCCTGTTCTGAGTGTGGGAAATGTTTTTCACAAAAAATCGAGTCTTTACAGCCATCAGAGATATCACACGGGGGGAAGCCGTTATCCTGTCCTCAGTGCTGGAAATGCTTTTCAGAGAGTCCGTTCTTTCCAGACATCAGAGATCTCATCACGGGTGAAAAGCCATTTTCCTGTCCTGAGTGTGGGAACTGTTTTACACAGAAGTCTAGTCTTTATGTACATCAGAGATCTCACACAAGGGAGAAGCCTTATTACCTGTCCTGAGTGCGGGAATGTTTTCAGACAAGTCTAGTCTTTACAAACATCAGAGATGTCACTATGGGGGAGAAGCGTATTCAATATCATGAGTTTGAGAAATGTTTTTCAAGGAGCTTCAATCTTTCTAGGCATACGAAAATCTCACACGGAGGAGAAGCCACTTTCTTCTCCTGAGTGAGGGAAATGTTCCTCACTGAAGTCCTGTCTTCCTGTACATCAGGGGTCCCACACAACCCTGGAGGTGTATTAGTGCCTTGAGTGCGGGAAATGTTTTCTAGATGAATGTTGCTGGACATCCAGCTCTCATGTGGGGAAGAAGCACACCTGATATACACCTCAGACTATATACTCCATGGCTGATCTTCATCATGGAAGAAACAGTTCATAAGGAGATCAGAGGTCCCCAAAGAATGGGTGAAGTGTGGGGACCGGGTTGGCATTGATGGCAGGAGAAGAATAAACAATGGAGTCTGCCCTGTGATTGGCTGAGTCTATAAATTGTTGAATGAATGGACCGCATTCACTCAGACGTGACCAGTTTGGTCCATACTTTGAAGGAGAAGTTCCCCTTTTTGGGCAGAATTTCCCTCCCATAATAACACAGAAGCGTTCTCTGATGCCGTTCTGGCCCGGCCGTCCGATTGGGCTTTCCTCTACCCTCATCCCACAGGACTCATCACTTGTCTGTCAGTTTATTGGAATTGGAACGGATTTTCAGATTGCATCATTTCCTGTCCTGTCCATGATACTTCTTAGCATTCACTTCACAGAAGCAAGGGGTGTGAAAGTTTTTTTGTGACAGGGCGTGTTCATCCGCTCGGGACCACACCCTCCCTCATAATAATACCTTCCTATACAATCTGATTGGACAAATCTCCTCTAGATCTTTTTTTCCACCCCAGCTATGTAGTACAAGGCAGACAAAGTCCAGGGTATGGAATGTGTGACAATTTATATTGGGAACTTGTGAGGACTGCGCCTGGGGGCTGCAAATGCTTAAGAAGTACGAGGGTTCCGGGGTGGGCGTGGGGGAGCGAGATTAGTAACGTTTGTAACCGTTTTAGGATCACCCAAAAGAGGACAGAGATGGCAAGTGAGGGGTTATGAAAGTTGCTGGAAATATTTATCTCAGAGTTCCTGGTGCAGAGTGTGTGACCACCATCATGAGGCTGATAGACGTAGGTCTGGATTTAGGAGGACTCCCATGGGATTTCTGGTGAGAATGGTGAGAAGTTTGAGAACAGAGCAATGCTTCTAAGTCAGCCCATAAGGAGCCATGTATTGTGGTGTAAAGGGGGGTTAGTGGGGTAATCTGGGCACCAAGAAATATTTAGTAACATTTGGAACACCCAAACTCCTTGTTCCTTATGTATGTATACATAGCATGTCTTGGGATTCGTGGCCCTTTGTCTGCTCAGTGAATCACAAGACCTGATTTTAAAAAGAGTTCAGAGTATAGGAGGAGATGGGGATCGGTGGGGGTTGGGGATGTGGGAAGAGTACAGGACAAGTGCAAGGAGTTTTGGTAGAGTAAATTGCCAATTGTTATTCGTGATCTCTCCTATCCCAGGAGAGGTGAAGATGAGTCACAGGCACAGAAGTAGGACTCTCCAGTATTTGAAAAAGTGGGGGATGTAGTCTGGCCTCATGGAGTGTGTTGTACGAGAGCGAGAGGAGATGAATGCCCAAATAATCCAGGTAGGAGGTGGGCAAGGAAACTATCATTCTCGTTTTACAGAGGAAAGGGAAATTGTATGGAGTACAGAGAATAGGACTGGCAGGGAGGTGTTGGGTTTGGATCCAAAGTAAGTGAAAAGATCATCAGCAAACAATCTGACGTTTACCCCTAGTTCTAGGGATCCCGACCAACACACTTATACTGCGGCAGGGCAGTTCCCTCTGTTCCAGATCACATACGAGTACATGTACACGTGTGAGCACCCACCCAGCCTGACTGTGCTGTCATTCAGTACAACACAAGCAGATTATCAGGTCCAGGCCCAATGATTTCTGGCCTGTACCTGCTGATCACCTGGACCTGCTGATCCCCTGTACAGAATCAGAGATCATTCTGTGTCCATATTTATAAACACAGGAACTGGAAAGGTACACTAGTGAAGAGGAGCTCACAATATAATACAAAGAGTATTCCCCAAGAGCAGCTAAAAAAAGGTGATCAATAAATCAATAAACCAACTTAACAGTGAATTCCAACCTAAACAACGCTGCCCACACCTGAAAACATACTCATATAAATGTGCAAAAATGTCAATAAATTAGAAATACGGCTTTCCTTAACCACTTTAGGTCCGCCCTATAATTAGAAATACTGCCACAGGGCGGACTCCTGCACAAACTTCATGTGTATATGATAGATGCCCAATAGAAATTGGCGGTTACTGTCTGTGTCCCCATTAGGGAGATTCACTGTCTCTATTTGTCCTGTTTTAGCATTTTCATTGTGACATAAAAAAAATCCACACTTTGGGCTTGTTCCCAGAAAAAAGTAATAGAAGAGAAATCTTCAATGGGGACGCTGGTTTTGGTGGTCACCAAGGAACTTCCTTAATTGAAGAATTTTCTCTCACTTCCTGTTTGGCTGACACAAGACGTGAAGGGGAAATTCTGCACAATGGTGCACAGATGTTAAAAAAAAAAAAAACGGACCAGTGTATTTGTTGGTATGCATTCAATAAAAAACAAAGAAAATTGATGGACACAAAATTTAGGAACACATTTTATTAAAACTAAAGAGTACTGTGTTAAAGTGTTATACCTTTTGACTGTATTTTGCGACAGATGACTTTTCTGCATAGGGGATGTTACCCATTTCTAATCTGTGTTACTCTGGAAATATTGAAACTGCTCTGTGTGTGTGGAATTGTCTATATAAATAAAGAATTTGAAAAAAAAAATTGAGCGAGTACATACAAATTCTATTTTTGCTTGCATTTAATAAAAATAATAGAGAATGAATAATAAATTAGGAACAATTTTAAATGGTATTTTCATTTTTTTTTTTTTTGCTTCATTTAATAAAAATATTTGCACAAGTGGGACTTAATGGTTAGCACTTCTTGACCTGGCAGCACTTAGGGATCATTGTTTCAAATACCAAACCTACAGCATCACCTGCCCTGGAGTTTGGCTTTGTTCTCCACTGTGCACTGCGTGGGTTTCCTCTGGAGACTCCGGTTTCCCTCCACACATTCCAAAGACTCATGCTGGCAAGTTAATTGAAATACTGTCTAAAAATTGGCTCTAATATTACAGGTCAGGGTCCATAAATATTGGGGACATGGACACAAATTCTACATTTTTTGGCCTCTATACACCACCACAATGGATTTGAAATTTAAACAAACAAGTTATGCTTTAACTGGCAGTCTGGTCAGCTTTTTAATTTGAGGCGGTATTTACTCAATCCTAAATCAGCGTTGAACCAGTGTAGGATTTGTACAACAGTTTGCAATATGTGCCTTCCCACTTGTTTAAGGGGACCACAAAAGTAATGGGACAGGAATTAATAATCTAATAAATCAAATCTTTCACTTTTTTTCATATACTTGGTTGCAAATCCTTTGCAGTCAATGGACAGCCTGAAGTGATGGAAACGCACATTAGACATAGCAGACGCTGGGGTGTCATCCCTGGTGATGCTCTGCCAGAGGCCTAATACTGCAACTGTTCATTCAGTTCCTGCTTGTTCTCGGACTGGCATTTTCACTTCAGTTTTGTCTTCAGCATAGTTGAACATGCTCAATATCGGATTCAGGTCAAGGTGTTGGACTCTTTGGCCATTGGCAGAACCAATTCCACTTCTTTTGCTGCTTTTGCAGTCTGCTTTGGTTCATTGTCCATCTGCAATGTGAAGCAGTCCAATGAGTTGTGAAGCATTTGGCCTGAAACTATTGAGGCGATGATATTATTCCGAAAAACACTTCCACAATTCATTCCGGCTGCTTCTGTCTGCAGTCACATCAATAAATACAAGAGAAGGACAGTTCACATTGCTCAGCTCATTACATGCCCACGCCATGACTCTACACACCACCATGTTCACTGATGAGGTTGGTCAAAATGCGTAGGATCATGAGCAGTTAATCCTTCACCATTTACTCTTATCTTCCACATCAACTCTGGTTACAACGTTGATGGTCAGGTATCATCATCTGTCGCATAGGATGTTGTTCCAGGAACTGTGCAAAGGCCTTTTTTTTCATGTCGTTTGGCAAAACTCTCATCTGGCCTTCCTGTTTTTGAGGCTCACCACAATGGTTTCCCATTCTTGGTGGTGAAACCCTCTGTATTCACTCTCGCGTGAAGGTTCTTCCTCCTGATTGGTGACTTTGAACACACATAACACTACCTCTCTGGAGAGAGTGTCTCTTGATCTGGCCAACTGTTTGTGATGGGCTGACTTTCTTCACCAGGGATTAAGAATTCTTCGCTCATCCACCAACAGTTGTTTTCCGTGGGTCTTCCGGGGTCTTATGGTTGTTTCTGACGATCACGGTTGCGTTCCATTCTTTTTATGAGATGTTCCACAACAGGTTGTTATGGCACGCCTGCATGTTTGTGCTATCTCTCTGATGGGTTTGTTTTGATTTTTCAGCTGAATGATGGCCTTAATGATAGTGACAGCTCTTTGGATCTCATCTTGAGAGTGACAGCAACAGATTCAAATGCAAATAGCACAACTTGAATATGAACTCTGGACCTTTTATCTGCTCATTGTAATTGAGATAATGAGATTAACACACACCTGGCATGAAACAGATGAGAAACTAAATTGTCCCATTACTTTGATCCTTAACAAGTGAGAGGCACATATCAAAATGTTGTAATTCCCACACCTTCACCCGTTTTTGGGTGTAAATACTCAAATTAAAATGCAGTCTGAGTTAAAGCACATTTTTTTCATTTCTTTCTTCATTGTGGTGGTGTATGAGCCAAAAATGTTTGGGTTTTGTCGATGTCCCAATATTTATGGCCCCGGCTGTAGAATGTAAATTAAAGGACTTTAGATTGTAT